GAAAAAAATCCATTTATGGAACTTCGGCAGACTACTCAGCAGGCGCGCCGGAAATAGTTTGGGATTGGAGCAAACATTCCAGGGGGCACAAACTTCAGGGGCAGTTGCGTAATGAGCAAAAACGTTTGGAGGGCAGGACAAATCTGCATCACCACCACTCTGACATGTTACATGTAGGCACCGCGGCATTCAATAACGGTCATATGAGCATCCAAAGACCCTCCTGATGAGGGCCCATTGTGGGGTCAAGGGGCAGAGCCCCCGGAAGCTCAAGGGTTTTAGGCGTTTAATTACGGTCAGATGAGCATACAGGGCCCGTCCTAGGGCCCTTGGCGGGGTCAAGGAAGCAGAACAACCGGAAGCTCAGAGGTTTTAGACAATTAATTACGGTCAGATGAGCATATTTTGATACCTCATTTGTGACGCTGGTAGGTCACTCATTTGTTATTTCTCTATTTCTTTCTCTTTCTCTATAACATAAGCATAAGCCCCTGAGCCCCCGAGCCCCACCGTTCTGCAGGCGCTGACACGAAGGGTTCTAAATAAGTACATAAATATTATTTTGCCTGACTGTAAATTTGGGAATTTGTAATTTTCCAACAAAGATAATTTACAAAAAGCGTTGAGAAAAAATTCCGAAAAAACATGTAATTTCAACAACATTTGTAAATCAAATATCTAATTAAAAATAAACCACGTTCCAATTTAGATTGAGGGCAACGCCAGTGTTCAGGGGCTCATGCCTTCTCACCCCTATAATGAAAAATACACACGCTTTCCCATCCTCTCACAATATTTCAATGATATGCGCGTACCGCTATTATAAAATCCTCCAATGATAACAAATAGGGGCATGCGGAATGTTTAGGAAATTTGATTCCTGTTTACTCTCCTTTTCTTTAAATGATATATAATTTTTATGTGATTCAAATCATGTTTTATTATTTTTGTATCTACTTTTTGGTTAAAAAATACAAAAACAATCTTTAGTCCTTAACTGTTTTTTATTTGTTTTTGTTTTGGGATTTTCGACCTGGGAACGGACGACTAAAAAGTTTAGTTCCCTGAACAGTTACTGTAGTTATGAGATTTACAAACAAAACTAAAAACGACATGTACATGACAAAACATGACAGGGGCATCGTTCATGGCAGGTTATACAAATGGAAGTTATCATGAACAAATCATAATAATTGGATTACTCATCAACCGATGACTAAACAAATCATGATAATTTTACTCACCAACCGATGACTAAACAAATCAAGAATTAAATGGGACAATAAGAGTATTGACACTGCAGAATCGGCTGGATGCGTTATGCTTTAGCTGCCCGCATTTAACCCGTTGACAACTGATTTTTCTCATTTCCATAGGCTTAATACAGGAGCCACCAGGTTCCAGTAAACAATGGGTTATTGTTTATCCGTCACGATCAAGGACGAGTCAATACCCGAACGAAAAGTATTTTGATTCATACATCCTTGTCATATTCATGAACAATAATAATAGCAAATATAGGATGTTAGGTCAGCTATAAATAAATAGATCAGTTTTCATTAGGAAGTACCGGTATTATTATTATTAAGAATTTGGCGTCACCTGTTGCCTGGAAGGCGAAAGCGAACGGAAGCAATTTCACCCTCGGGTCTCTCCTCCCGGTGTAGAGTACCGAAGCTGTGACGTCATAACAATCTATTTTTTTTTTTATAATTTCTCAATTTTTTCTTCATTTTCCGAAGGAGCATCAAAAATAATGTCCGAATGTCGAAAACCACTGGAATATGTTGAGTATTGGCTGAGATATGACCATCGGAATAACTATATGTCCTATGGGAACTCGGTGTTATAATGCTCTGGTTCCTAATACTGTTCGGGGAACTATATGCACGCATCAATCATCTTATACCGGGAAGAGAGACAGTATAGTTACTTATACAAACAAAACTCAAAAAAAGACATATACATGTACATGACAAAACATTACAAGGGCATCGTTCATGACAGGTAATAAAAATGGAAGTAATCATGAAAAAATCATTAATGTGAAAATAGCGATGTGATAACGTGATATAATGTTATTATTGTTACACGAATCATTGATATTTAGATATAAGATACTGCTTCAAGATTCTTTTAAATAATGTTAAAGACTTGCATGAGGATATTTCAGGAGAAATAGAGTTTCCAATTACAGGAAAATTGTTTCTTACAGATTTCAAAAATATATTGCTCTTTACTGGCCAAAAGTGAAAGGAGCCTTCCCATTATACCCTAATATTTTGGACCCTTTACAGCTACCTACATCAGATAAGTGAGAACAGGGTTTTCGCACTAACGGAAGCCGTCAGAAAATTCAGACCCTAAAGTCGGGTTGATTTTATCCTGTATCTAGATTTTATCCTGTGCAACCCCTACAAAAAAAGAACTTTGGTAACCATTGTTCTTTTTCTTCCAAATAACCATCCACCATGGTAACCATGGTAATCATGATATCAAACACTGACATTCATTGTTCGATGACCCTGCGTTTATCATTGTTTGATACCATGGTTACCACATGATTACAAAATACAGGCAACTCTCAAAAATATCCATCAGGAAGTGGTTATCAAACGTCCACGTTTTGACGCCTACATAATTATGTATACGGAGTAGGCAATGTCAGAAGAATGCTACCCCATGCTCTATGCTCCATGGGGTAAAACGCAAAGGTTCGTACCGTGCGCAATATTAAATACGGGAATTTCCCTTAAAGGTAAAGACCAGTAATGGTCATGCGATTGCATTGTGAAAGAAACGTTGTGGAATCGATCAGAAAAGGTTGATCATCTAGCATCTAGCATCTGCAAGGTTCTGGAATCATCAAAATGATAAGAAATTTGGCCCATTCTTCGTAAAGTTACAAGCACTATACACAGAAAGATGTATATGGGACTACCCTATCTCTCTCACACGACCATGAGAGAAATAAATTTACCAAATATATGAATCAGTAGGCGGTTTCCCGGCAAATTTTTTATCATCATGTATTAGTCAAAACATATTCTTTCACATGATTGGTAATGAGAGCTTCCATTTCATTTTTTGAAATTGGGGCGTTACCAATACTGGTCTTTACCTTTAATCGTGTATACCGGGGTTCTCCCTGAATCGCGTATCACGACGTACTTTATTGGTGCATTACGAGGAGATGACAGGGTCGATCAATGACAACAGTTCACAAGCAACTATGCTGTCAGAAGAAAGATACTGAAACATTAGAACTTGATATTTTCTACCGAAAGACTTCGATACAATGATATGTTCCATAATTGGGAGTATCATTACGGCCTGCATCAAGTGGTAAGTCTCTGTTTCATTTTGAAGAATTCTTTTATTGACCATCTCGATCATATTAATCAAGATATGCTTATCAATGATTGTCAATGTATTGAAATGTTAATTATATAATATTGATTATAGGAATAGGCCTTAAGCAGTGGGCTTGGTTCTTTGAATGGTTAAATTAAATCATGGAACATACCTGCTTTTTCCGTTTCGTTGACGATCAGCCATGCATCAAGTCTTTCGTCTTCTTTTTGCATGGCTGATCGTCAACGAAACAGAGTTAAGTCTTTTGTCAACTCTATTTGTTGCTACGGCAGGCAGCCAGTGAAAACGAATTCGTTTAATCAAATTATGGAAATGAAAGCAATACTTTAAACAAACAGAACGTTTTTATTCCTGGCTCATTTTTCCTGATTGAGGTGTCATATGAGGGCAGAAAAAGAACTTTGGCTAGAAATGTGATTTTCTCTTTGAAATTCAGATTCCGCCCACCAAATGTCTTTTTGGTATTCTCTCTTCAAATTATTTGTAATCACTCATGCGTGAAAAAAAAATGCATCATATGAGTTGCATCAAATGAAAGAGGAGGATCTAAGCTTTACAAATACGTGTAATTTATTGATTATAATCGTGATTAAGTTATGATAAAACGTCAATAATTCTCGGTTTCGTTTTTTCTGGGACACGCTGTTGGCCTATATTGCGATTTTTTGTATGAAGTAAAAATACAAAAATGTGTTACAGTCGTAATACATACAGGTACAACAACGATAAAAAAGCGATGATTACCTGGAAATGCATTTGGTTGCTTTATACCAAGCGTTCATCATTCATTCGTTTCACAAAATAATATCGTACACAAATTACATCTAATATAAAGAAGACAAAAAACAATCCCTGATGAGTATTACGAACATCATGTCAAAGTAGAGGCACTTATCAGAGGTGAAAAGTGGCATTTAAGAAAAAGGGAAGGGGGTTCTTATTTATAAAGAAAGGTACACCGTTAAAAAGGAAAAAGAAAAGTTCTTCTTTTTCTTCTTCTTTTTCTTCTTCTTCTTCTTCTTCTTCTTCTTCTTCTTCTTCTTCTTCTACTTCTTCTTCTTCTTCTTCTTCTTCTTCTTCTTCTTCTTCTTCTTCTTCTTCTTCTTCTTCTTCTTCTTCGTTTTCTTCTTCTTTTTCTTCTTCTTTTTCTTCTTCTTCTACTTTCTTCTTCTTCTTCTTCTTCTTCTTCTTCTTCTTCTTCTTCTTCTTCTTCTTCTTCTTCTTCTTCTTCTTCTTCTTCTTCTTCTTCTTCTTCTTCTTCTTCTTCTTCTTCTTCTTCTTCTTCTTCTTCTTCTTCTTCTTCTTCTTCTTCTTCTTCTTCTTCTTCTTCTTCTTCTTCTTCATCTTCCTTATACACGTACATATTTCATTATTACGTCAAATTCGGGGAATTCCCAAAATTAGATATTCATTAATAGTCTTTAACTAGGCAATGGGATTATTCAATGCTAAGTTAACACAGAGAGTCTATGTCATTAGTTCAATTTTTTAATCTAAATTTGCAATAGTCTTATATTTGATATAGATTCTTTTCAAAAATTAATATGAAATAAGCTTAAACGTAAAAACAAGAAGATTTTCATTACAGAAAAATCTAGAAAGCGACTGTAGCTAAGTTGCGTTTGCGCACGAAGGTGGTGGCGCTCTCCGATTTGTGCGGATGATATATTTCTTCTTAGTTTTGCTTGGAGTTAATCAATTTTAAAGCTTAAATTCTGTTTCACCAACAGGTGAGTTCATATATTCGTTGCTATTTGTTGTGATATCGAAACGATACAACTGATGGTATGTAAATTAATAACAATTACGTATTTTTCTTATTCGCCGTAGACTACTCTGTATCAAATAAGAATATGTCATGACATGTTTTTCAATATGTGGGACATTCGCAAATTACTGTGCTGCCATTTTTAGTTTTAAGTTTAGGGTGTGCCGAATATCAAAATGTCTGGATTAGGCAAATTCTACAAGAAACGTTTTCACCACATCGACCTGAGAACACATGAGTTAATCAATCTGGACCATACCAGGGGAGAATTTTAAGAGAAGAAGAAGAAATTTGAAAAATTGGCAAATTAGTCATAGATATCTATCTAGTCTAGACTTCTAACGTTAGATCTAGATTCTAAGTTATAAAATAGTTTCAGCAGGTTTAGGCCTAGGAGTAGGACAGAAATGAGTTCAAACCGAATCAGAGACTCACTTCATTCTTCAAGTTCAAGCTTCAGAAGTTCAGTCTTGCTGAGGTCCTTGGCTTTTAAAAAAAGTGTAAATAAGTGAAGCACTTTTTAAATCTTCATTAGTGTGAGGAATAAATTAATTGCAATTTTGATACCCTTTCCAGAACCCACTCACAAAATGATAAAACACATGCGACATCAATAAAATTATGTCACAGGGACAGTATGAACAACCTACCTACATGTATCACACATTCAGGACAATGTTGGATACCCATTGCAATGTTTAGATATATTATGAGTTAACGTTGTTTGTGTATTTACTGCCAGTGGTGATATTTCCTCTTTTTTGGGGCACTTCAAATGAGATGGCAAAGACAAAGTGACCATATTTGCGCGTGACCTAAGTTGACGTTGGCTATCTCAAAGTCAAGCATTTGTTAAGATTTCAAAAATCTGATATCACCAATGGAAAGAGGAACATAAAATTACCCATCAACAGAATTTTCTCTGGAACTGGATGTGAAATTATGAAAAGATCAGTATATTTTGGGGTCATTTGCGTCCGTTCCGAAAAAATTACTAACTTACCGACAAAGGTCTGGAGATCGTCATTTTCAGAGCAGATATCCTAAAAATTATCAGTAAGAGGTGGTACTGACTGGTTGTATGATATCTTGCCTTGCAAATTATTAAATTACGAATAATAATTATATGTCAATTTAGCTAGGAGCTTATAATATGCCACTTTTCTCTTAGTGTGGTGTCTCTGAACACTCAAACACCTCTCGATGCCCTGGAGATCAGCTACATCAGCAAGTTGTTTGGTCCATATTAGGCCTGAGTCATGTCGGGATTTTCATAAACCGCATCCGACGGCTTTGTACCGATCGGGACCCGGTGTCCCGAAATCAGCTCGCAGGATTTGTCACTTGCCTCTCTAAAAAGCGCATATCGCCAGTATGTCCCTTAAAAGTGACCTTTTTAATCAATCAAATAAATCAACACATGCATACCTCCGCTCAGATCGGTATATTCTTCCATTTGACATTATTTTCATCCATGATTGGCGATGTTTAGTGCCATTTTCGTGCCTCTAAAAGTAAAAAAAACTGGGGCAGAAATAGAAAGACAACATTCGAGCTGCCATTTTGATTTATGCAGGCTGAATAAATCTGGTCAAAAAATATGAATGTTAGAATAATAAAACGGCTTTCTAAAAATTTCTTCTGTACAATATACCGATCATAGAATATTTTAAAGACAAAATAAATATGTATCTCTTATTTTAAACATTGCATGCTTTTTTTTAAAAGCTGAAAATTACTTGGTAATCAAGAGTTTCGATACGGATAGCTGTTGCAAGGCAAGTTCAGACTAGTCTCGGAAAATGCGCAGTGCTCCCTGTAATTAGCTGTAATGCGTGCCAGAACGAACCAAAACAAAGACGTGATCGTAACAAGAAAAAAATCATTAAAAACTACGAGAGCACAATTGGAAAGACAACTACTGCTCAAAATTACCATAATCAGATAGATAACTTTGACAAAGAATTCAATAACCGCCCAAGAAATGCAACAGAAATTGTGATAATCGAGGAGTAACTGGGTACATTTTTCTCGCAAGGTGCCTGCTGCAAATACTTGAATCCTTTGTTATACTCTCTCTTGTATCCCTCCTCCGCTCAGGTCGGAGATCGTCGCCACTGTGAGTCTGCCGAAGTTACATAAATGGTATAAATTCGACTATTGGTCGTTAAGTAGATTTTGACAGGTTGTGTGAAGGTTGCGTATAAAATAAAGGAAAAGTGTATGCAGCTGTGTTTTGGTACTACTGCTGATGTGTCCAGCAGGGAGAAAGAGCATTGACTCCAAGAACAGGGCAGGCGCAGACTCGAAGTATTGAGTAAACTGCTTTGTGTTGAGGTTATCCTTAATAAGATTAATAAGGTCTTGACGCACAGATGATAGAGGGCGGCATTTGCCTCGTATAGCCTCGTGTTAAATTTAAACCCGTGTAATTCGGATATTGCAGCAGGCCCTTCCGATAATGATTGTACCTATAGTAACTCCTTAAATATCACTATTTATGTGGCTTTTCTTGGACAACTATTGTTTTCTTCCTCCAAGTTATGTATCTGCTTACAATAATTTTGAGTAGTTGTCTTTCCAATTGTGCTCTCGTAGTTTTTAATGATTTTTTTCTCGTTACGATCACAACTTTGTTTGGGTTCGTTCTGGCGAATTACATTTTCAGCTTCTAAAAGAAGCATGCGGTGTTCAAAATCAAAGAAAAAATATATATTTTGTCTTTTAAAAATTATTCGATCGGTATGTTGTAAAGAAGTACTTTTTAGAAAGCCGTTTTATTATTCAAACATTAATGTTTCTTTCAACCCGATTTATTAATCCTGCCAAGAGACCCGGCCAGTACAGTCAGTAGCTAGCTAGCAGCTGGCAACAACAACCCCATGGGGCGAACTGCCTTGCAACCCATATTTATATCAACAGTTTGGATTGATTCAGGATGAGCTAGAATATGATTGGTAACAATTAAGTTTTAAGGTGGATTGATTTCAGTGGTGTGCAAAACTGCAATTTCTTACATATTACGTTATGTTTTTCGGAGTGTCGGTTCTCAAAAAAACGAAACCGGGACCCAACGGCAACGGTCGGGTCTAGGTGTGATTGACCGTACTGACTCAAGCCTAGTCCATATGACTGCAGAGTTAATAAGAGCTTGGAGTTGATAACATTATTATAAAATTATGATTTGTAAATAAGGCCTTAAAAAGAAAATTATATTGCCCATTGCGACTGACCCAAAAATGTTGAAATCTACGGTCGGCTTTAAAAAAAAAAATTATAAAGCATTCAAAACTGAGAAAAATCAGCCCAAAGACGGAGAAAAAAATGTCTTGACACCAAAAGGGCAATACATCTTTTTTTTTAGGCCTAATGCTTATATTGTATGTTTTCTTTTAGCATGGCGTCATTCAACCCTGACACGCCTCTAGATGCCTTGGAGCTGAGCTATATCAGCGAGCAGCTGGGCCCTTACGATTGGAGGAAGCTCGGTCTGTACCTCGGTATAACGGAGACCCGATTAGCCAACTGGGAGAGGCAGTACATGATGAACATAGAACAGGCTGCCAGTCAAATGCTCTACACATGGCACAACAACCAACATCCGTCCCAAGAGCGGAAGTTGCTGATAGAGGCTCTGGAGAAGACAAAGCTGAGGAGTCTTGGAGAGAAGGTCCGCATGGGTGAGTTGTTGTTATTGAATTTAATTTATTTTCCACAAAACATGTAGTTGAGGGGTCAGTGACCCAAAGACGTAACTCCATTTTGGCCAGTTTTGAGAAAAAGTGGTTTATGTGTCACTTGGGCCTTAAGGAGTTGAGTCTAGCCATTGACTTCAATGGGGTGTTGGGTGGAGTTATAAAGTCGTTGTGTTTCCTGGAAAGCCCACATTTTTCTGAACATTTTGATATCAAATACTTATTTTGACTAAATATGGAGTTACGAGCACCTTATTTTTTTTTTTTTGTGGCCAATTTTAGAGTTGAAATATTTTTTTTGCCCAACTTGTGAGAATCTTTAATTTTTATTTTTTGTCATTGGGGTGGGGGGGGGGATGGGGGGGTGTCAGTGCCTGAACATTAGCACTCCTGATAGAATGTGGAAGTAGCAAGCTCTGCTACCCCAAGTAGTGCAACTGAGAATTTCTGTCGGGACAGCTCAGTCGGCTGATCTCAGTCTATGCGCTGGTCAATGGTTCATCAGGAGCTCTGCAATGCAGGAAGGGGTTTTACTATTAAAGGGATTGGCTAACTTTGTCTCAGATTCTGAAACAAAATCCTGAATTTAGCTCATGCTTCAAGGATGATTATAAACCTTTAGGTCAGTCAGGAACCCCATGACGTTTACAAGCCTGTCAAGGTATTTATGATTGGAAATCAAAATCAAATTTTGCGTTTTCCTAACTGTTTTCATAACACTACAGTCTTATGGGTAAAACGAGTATGGTAAAACCGGTCACTCAAAGATTTGTACTTTTTTGAGGCACTTCTTGATCATTTTGAAGCGCAACTTATTTAGGGCTTCAATATTCTACCATATCACAGACACTGATAACACGTAGGACCGTGCATCTCAGATTTAAGATTGTTAAACGATGCCTTTAAGTGCTTTGAACACTAGAACTCAAAGAAGCCATCATCATCATTTTGGCCCCATGAATCCATCGATGACGTTCAGCACGTTGTCTCCAGAAAGGAGCAGGATATATTGTTTTGTCAATTATGTACTACTTTCTGGAGGCAACATATCCATTTAGAGCTGGAATGATTCACTTGTGAATACCGGCCAATGATCTTAATTAATTCCCTTCCCTTTCATTGCAGGCGAATGTCGGCGCACAGTTCCGCAGGGCATGAGGCCTATACCCCCGGAGCCCTTCAACAATCATCAGCACCCTACCCCTCCCGCCCAAAGGTACGAACCCATCGCCCATCTCCCACAACAACCCGACATACTACCCATGCGAATACCCCAGCAAACCAGCTATGAGATAACGGAGATCAAGCTAAGGGATGTTTCCAACAAGCTAGGTTCCGAGTGGAGGATGGTTGGAACTTTTTTAGGCTTCAACAACTCTCAGATTGAGGTTATGCATGAAGAACATCGAGTCATTAAGGTACTTCAACTTTTTCATTAAGTTCTGGGGTAGTTTTCTGAAAACTATTTTGACTTTATTGTTGACTTTCATTTGTACTTTCATCATTACTCTCGAAGAACCAAAATAAAAACATAAGACTCTCTACTTTTGAAAAAAATTGTTTGGTAATCAAAAAATTAATTTGTGAATTATTTATTTCTTACATTGAAAAACACTGTACTAATACATTTGTAAATTTCAGAGTAAAACCCCGAATTTCCAACAACAAAAAAAATACCAAGTGACAAAAAGGAATAGTAAACTTATCATACATTTCTGTAAACTGATTTTTGATGTGTAATAACTTACAGTTAAAATGGCTTTACTTTTTATATGTATCTCTGTAATGTGCTACATTTTCATTTCTTTATTTATCTTTTTATTCTACCGTTATTATCCCCTCGCCGACAAAGTCGGAGGGGATATAGTAACGCTATAGTAGGGCTGCTTACAAAATTGCATACGAAGTACCGGTAAGCAAAAACTGGCAAAGGGATGTTTAAAATACAAAATGTCATCAGTGATTGTGTTTGCTGACAATGCTCTTCTAAAACCAAAGTTGGCAACAGAAAATTGTTGATGAGGGTTGTCACACCCCCTCTTTTTTATTATTTTTTTCTTCTATTGTGTAAAATGAAAGACAGCTGCACGTAGTATTCAATGAGCTCTGTGGTTTAAGATACATGTATAGAGAAATTTCAAGCATATTACATTTTACGTAATTGTTAGAAAAAACAGCAATTTTATCTGAACAAGCCTTACAGTATGTGACAGATTTGCTTACATTTATAGGTAAAGTCATTTTGAAATGTTCATTTGTATGTTCTGTGTCTTCTCTCCATGCAGGAATGTATCTTCCAAATGTTACTACAATGGCGAAACACCAACGGTGTCGAGGCTACAAAGACTAAATTAAAGAAGGCGCTGCAGCGATCGCTACGTGAAGATTTGGTGGATTTCATTGATGAAGCGGATGATTGAGTCCTAGCTAAATGACAAAAACTTTGATGAAATAACAGACTGATGAAGCCTTTCCAGAGTCTCCTGTAGGAGGTCAAGAGGACCATGACTACATCATTGAAATCACCAAACTGGAAAGAAACTTAAAGGGCAAGTCTACCCTGGTCATGTAATGCCTGGCTGGAATGCTCTCCAGGGAGTGGAGATTGTGCACACATTGTGTACGGGCAAGCACTTAATCCAATGACCGGAGTAATAGTATATTTGTAAAGCGCTTAGAGACATTTGTATTAAGCGCTATATAAAAAATAAATAATAATTTTATTATTAAGTTGGTTTTAATAAAAGCAGAAAAATGAGAGAAACAAATAAGTGAAATTTTGAGTAAATCCAATTAGAAATAGGAAAGTTCTTTTAGAAGTTGTCATCAGTGAAACAAACATTGGCAACACTCTAGTGTTTCATGCAAGCTCCTCTCCAATTCGCTCTGTGCAAAACTTTCATTTTCTTAGTTAGTTATGATGGAATAGATTTTGTTTACACAGGGGTTGTCTGAAAACTGTCTTTAGGGAAAATATAGATCTTGGAAGTTTCTAAGGACAGGGTGAATCTGAGGGGAGCTCACAAGCAGGCGCGGATCCAGGATTTCTTAGGGGGGGGGGCCCAAATTTGAAATTATGCTAGCCAAATATTGGTACGTAATGGTGACCAACGGTGATGTTATGCGGGGGGGTCGGTGCAGGGAGGGGTGAGTCCCCCCCCCCCCCCCCCCCTCCTCCACGAAACGCGGAAGCTTTGACGTTTCATTAAATTATTAAAGAAAGAAGACGATTTGTTGTACCGTTTACGACTCTTAATCCTCGTCTGAATTTAGTTTTTTTCCCCTCCCGCGCGAAGCGCGGAAAATTTTACGTTTTATTAAAATATTAGAGAAAGAAGACGATTCATTGTAAAGTTCTCAACTCTTAATCCTTGTCTTAATTCAGGTTCCCCCACCCTCCAGCGCGAAGCGCGGAAGCTTTGACGTTTCATTAAACTATTAAAGAAAGAAGACGATTTGTTGTACCGTTCACGACTCTTAATCCTCGTCTGAATTTAGTTTTTCCCCTCCCGCGCGAAGCGCGGAAAATTTTACGTTTTATTAAAATATTAGAGAAAGAAGACGATTCATTGTAGAGTTGTCGACTCTTTATAATCCTTGTCTGAATTCAGGTTCCCCCCACCCTCCTGCGCGAAGCGCGGAAGCTTTGACGTTTCATTAAACTATTAAAGAAAGAAGACGATTCGTTGTACCGTTCTTGACTCTTAATCCTCGTCTGAATTTAGTTTTTCCCCTCCCGCGCGAAGCGCGGAAAATTTTACGTTTTATTAAAATATTAGAGAAAGAAGACGATTCATTGTAGAGTTCTCGACTCTTTATAATCCTTGTCTGAATTCAGGTTCCCCCCACCCTCCTGCGCGAAGCGCGGAAGCTTTGACGTTTCATTAAACTATTAAAGAAAGAAGACGATTCGTTGTACCGTTCTCGACTCTTTATAATCCTCGTCTGAATTTAGTTTTTCCCCTCCCGCGCGAAGCGCGGAAAATTTAACGTTTTATTAAAATATTAGAGAAAGAAGACGATTCATTGTAGAGTTCTCGACTCTTAATCCTTGTCTAAATTCAGCCCGCCCCCCTCCTGCGCGAAGCGCGGAAGCTTTGACGTTTTATTAAACTATTAAAGAAAGAAGACGATTCGTTGTTCCGTTCTCGACTCTTAATCATCGTCTGAATTTAGTTTTTCCCCTCCCGAGCGAAGCGCGGAAGCTTTTACGTTTCATTAAATCATTAGAGAAAGAAGACGACTCGTTGTACCGTTCTCGACTCTTAATCCTCGTCTTAATTCAGTTCCCCCCCCCCTCCTGCGCGAAGCGCGGAAGCTTTTAAGTTTCATAAGATAATGAGAGAAAGAAGACGATTGGCTGTACAGTTCTCGACTCTTAATCCTCGTCTGAATTCAGGTCCCCCCCCCCCCCCCGCGCGGAAGCTTTGACGTATCATAAGATTATGAGAGAAAGAAGACGATTCACTGTACCGTCCTCGATTCTTAACCCTTGTCTGAATTCAGTCCCCCCCCCCCCTCCTCCCCTCCCGCGCGAAGCTTTGACGTTTCATTAAATTATTAGAGAAAGAAGACGATGCGTTGTACCGTTCTCTATACTCTTAATCCTTGTCTGAATTTCAAAGATGTTCTTTGTCTGCTCCTTTTACTTCCTACGTCCTCTTCCGTTTTGGGGGGACCGCCCCCCCCCCCCCCCTGGCTACGCGCCTGCGGTTAGATAAACACATTTTGATAACTTGTCCGGCCCCGGAAGCTCAGGGTTTTAGGCGTTTAATTAAGGTCAGATGATCATTTTTTTTAATACCTATTATTTTGTGACACTGGTAGTTCACTATTTGGCGTGGGGTCCAGGGGGCGGATCCCCCCCCAAAAAAGAGGGGTTTTAGGCAATAAATTACCGTCAGATGAGCATCTAAGGGCCAGCCATAGCGCCCTAGGTGGAATCCAGGGGGCAGAGCCCCCGAAAGCTTAGGGGTTTTAGGCATTTAATCACGGTCAGATGAGCATATTTTGATGCCTCATTTTTTAACACTGCACTGGCATTTAACTATTCTATCTTTCTTGCTCTCATTCTATTTTTTTTCTCTTTAATATACTTTTTCAAATAAAGTGGGGGGGGGGGGAGGGAGCTCGAGGCTCCCGATCCCTGCCGTACCTCGGGCCCTGACATGTAGGAATCTCAAGAATCATATTTCGTGCCTGGCTGTAAATTTAGGAATTTGTCATTTTCCAACAAACACATATACAAACGTATAATTTACTAAAAAATGAGGACAAATCTCGGAAATTATGTCATTTCAGCATTAATTGTAATCCACCGTTGTGGAATTAGAAATAAACCACGTTTGAATTTGATTCCCCCAAAGCCCCCCCCCCCCCCCCCATTAGTACGCCAGTATCTCCTCTTTTCCTTTTTTCTTTCCCTTTCCTTCCTTCTCTCTTATTTTTTTGATTGGGGGGGTTAACAGCCTGGGAGGCAGGGCCCTTTCGGTCCCCCCCCCCCCGATTTCCTTCTTCCCCCTTTTCTTTTCTTCTTCTTCTTCTTCTTCTTCTTCTTCTTCTTCTTCTTTCTTTCTTTCCCTTTCTCTCCTCTTTCCCTTTCCCTTCTTTTCCTTTCTTCTCTCTTTTTTTTTTTTTTTTTTTTTTTTTTTTGCGGGGGGGGGGGGGGGCCAAGGCCCGCTCGGCCCCCCCCCTGGATCCGCGCCTGCTCACAAGATACGTTAGAGTTGCCAATTCGTGTTTGATTGATTTCACCTAAGTCAAAAATTCATAACTTTCGGATGTTTAATTGTTTTTTTCTCAAAATTTCACTGACCTGTTTCTCTCATTTTTCTGCTTCTATTAAACCAAACTTGATATCAGGGCGGTCTTCCCCTTGTATGATATGACTTAACCCGTTGACTCCTGAATTGTATAGGTCCCATAGGCTCAACACAGGGACACCAGGTTCCCATAAGCTAAGGGTTAATTAACATGTGTGAGTGTGAACGCTTCTTTGGCAGGTTTCCATGCTGCTACAGTTCATGAAAACATCATTCAAGTCACTGAAAATATAGAAACCGTGATGGGATCAAAGCGAGAAACTCCAGTTTAGCATTTCCTATGGAAGTCAATTGAGCTGTTTACACCTAATGAAATGAACATTGATGTCATGTTTCAAATTACGATTGATCAATTGCTGTTTTACATGACTGCTAATAAAGAAAGCATGTGTACATGTATATGCTTGTAAGTTTACAACCAGGGGACCAACAGCTTTGAGTCCTCTCCGAGGTACTTGGTAATGAGGCTTATTGCCTTAATTACCAAAGGGCATGAGCACAATGACTTGGGACCTCCCGGTTACACCACTGCTTTACCACTGAGCCATCCAGCCTCCTTCCCATCGCACCCCCAATTTAAATTGGATTTGAGTGCATCTTGTATGTATGTGACACTGAAAGACCAAGCTGTACTCACTAAGGCTCAAGATTACAAGATTCTGTGATGTAATCAATGATTTTTGTTTGCATCTTAAAATACTGGACTGTTTGTGAAATTTTAAAGAGTTCCTGATTTTGCAATACATTTATTATCTTTGTCAATTCTGCTCTGTGGCTTGCTATATGTGTAAATAATATTGTCATTGAGGAGTTAAAACTCTTTAAAATATCTCTTCTTGTTATTCTCCTTCTTTTTCTTTTCTTCTTTTCTTCTCTTTTTTTTTTTCTTCTTATTGTTAGTTTTCTTCTTCATTTCTTCTTTCTTTTTCTTCTCCTTCCTTATTTGATTTTAAAGTATGCTATGTTTGTGAAAGGTTATTCCACAGCAGTGGACATTTAACATTTAAGTTAGCAATTTTATCAATTTTATGAATAAAAGAGTTTTTATGCCACTTTCCAGCCAATTTATAAAAATATGTTACCCGATATGTCATCAGATGATCTTCTGACACTTATTCAATCTCGCTTTATTCTAGGAACGTTGTAATCGCCTTGCTTATAATCTTACACTAGTAAACTTACATGTAAGGCCTATACAGTATACATTTTGTATATTGTAATCATGTAATTTGAATTTTTTTATAAATTCATGTAATTGTTCATCATGTTAAACAAACAAACTATTAATTCTTAAAACCACCTGCTTGGCACAGGTGGTTCATGTTCAACACATTTAATGCAGTGAAAAAAATCCACGGGGCTCGGAGCGAATTGCCCCTCGAAATGCTAAAAAGAGCCCCTGAAAGTCGATCATAAAAGAGCAACAAAAAATTTGCATAAAGTTCAATGCAAAACAAATTAAAGAGTGTTATTTTCATGCATGCAAGCTTGATAAGTAGCCCCAAAAATTTTTTAAGTATTTTTATCCCTCATTTGAAACAGAATTTTTTTTTCTCATTAGAAAAATCATTGTAAATAGTGTCTACAGTACACTATATATTCTTGCTGCAAAACACTTCAAAATTTCATCTAATCTATGTGTGTAGATTTTCGTCCAAAGTCAGGCCAATTTTTCAGTCAGAATCAATTGATGGGTGGGTTTTGACATCCAATATCAATATGTGCCCTGATATCAGCACAATCAATCTCATTGAATAAATTTACAAAGTTTGGATTGATTTGGTCATTTTGCTGCACTGCACTAGTTAAAAGATGTCAACCATCGCAAGCTGAAAAATTAGCCTGTCACGGTTTTCTAGTTGGGGGCGCCATATATGGTTCTTTCAGCTGGTGTCCCTCTATAAAGGGACACTACTTTCACCCATTATCATGCTAAGAGCAATACAAGAAGAAGAAAAAAATTATTTTCAATTTGAAAAACAATGTGTTGCCAATTTGAGAAAGAATGTGCGATCAACCAAGCCCTTTTGAAAAAATCCTATCCTGAAAGAGTTAAAAGAAATAAAGAAATATTACACATGTGTTATGTGATTTTCTTTTATTTCTTTTTTTTTGTCAGGGGGTGGAGGAGACTTCAATAATGTTCATGTCTGAACCATGAGATGTAAAGACTACATTAAATTTATATTCTTTTAA